TAATTATACAATTTTTAATGAAACATATTTTATTAATTTTTTAATAATAAATTTATGCAAATATTATTTAACTTCGCAGAAAAAAGAATTTGCTGTTGCAAGCGTCCAATTTTTCACACCATTTCCCCAACATCTTTTGCTAACATTTTTCGCCTATAAAATACGATGGTCGATATTTTGAGGAAATGCTTTCATTGTAGTCTTTAGCTAAGTAAATTAGTGCAAAATGGACCTGCACATTTAATCATTTTTAATAAATAATTATCAGTACAATCGAGTACATCGTATGTACGCGTGTCGTCAGTTTTAGGTGATTGACAAATTTAGGTGATTAGGTTAAGACGCATCAGATTAGACAGAGATACAATATATAAACTATTACCTTGCATACAAAAGTCGGCTCGTGTTGGCTCGTGTCGCAATTTTTATTATAGGATTTTTAGTAAAGTCACCTATTATGAGAAACCTTTTTTTTAAAAGCTTGTTTATTTAATTTAAACTTAACTCCTATTAATGTCAAATTATGGAAAATATATTTAAGTTTTATCTGAGTTCTTATTAATTTCATATCATAATCATTTAATAATCCTTTACTGTTACCTTTCTTCTGTAAATACTCACTGTCAGTAACAAAAAACACTATCTAGTAGTTAGCATACTTACCCTACATTCCCAGATAACAAAACATTCCTTGGCATAAGAAAAGGAATAAGCACTTAGCATAAGTTTCTCTTCAATTATCATCATGTTGCTGTCACCAGGGCAATAATAATTTCGTTTGGTTCAATCTAGAGACATTATGCGGATAACGATTTTGCGAAGACGAGCAGAAATGCTGTAACAAACTTATTCCTCTAAATGTTGCTACAATCTGTTGGAAATCGTTTTTGTAAAATATTTAGTCCACATTTTTGTCAATCGAATGAAAATGGAGTGTGGTCGAATAGTATGCGATACCATTACCAGAGAGGTGCATCCAGTTAAATTTCTCGATTTTAAAAAACACATACAAAGATGTATAAGGCACGTAAGACTCAATGTAATTAAGTATAAATGTAAGAACTATAACATGATATATTAAATGAATAAAAAAATTCTATAAATAACACATTGTAAAATACATTACATTACATGTTTCGGCTCTTGGATTGAGCCATCCTCAGATAATACAAAACCTTCACAATCTTAAAATTCATTTCATCGTCATAGAAAAATCGTGATAAAAGTTTTCCAATTTATATACCATAATGATATTGATGAATGCCTCACAGACATCTATGAATTACTTGTAAGCGATTTACTGACTGTTTGAACTGATTGTTTGAAATTTCATGATATTTTAATTAAAAGAACATATTTGTTAACCAATAAAAATAAAATAAATAAAAATAAAAAATGAAATTAAAATCTGAATAAAATAAAAATCTTTCAAAATGTTATCTACTTTTAAATTCTATAAAAATCAAGCAAAAACATCATCTTAATAAAACACTCACCAACGTGATCGCAATTATCATTTCTTAAGAAGAAATACGTCAAATTCATCATAAAATCATGTAAAATATAACAGGTAGTATATCAATCAGATAGTAATAATATTGTACAATGTAATACACAGTCACTAAATTAAAACTTGATAATTTGTATAGATCGAATTTTCCAAAAAGAATTTTTTTTTTAAATATATGTTATAACGATAAGACTGATTGTCACTATCTGAGAGGCAATTACTAGATTAACAACTAGATAAGAACAATATCAACTTTTGTTTATAATCGATGTATAGGCTTTGTAAAGGCCCTGTCTATTTGAAAATTAAGACAAAGCAAAATTAAGTTTTTTTGCTTTTTAATATTTAACATTTCAGAAATTAAGCGTTTATTATAACATGGCTCTTTATCTAGTATCTGTATGTTATTCCAATCAAAATCATGTGTCATTCGCATGTTCGGTGATTACAGAACGGGTAGATGTATTCCAACGAATACGATTACGGTGTTCTGTAATTCTGGTTTTAAATTGTCTACTCGTTTGTCTGACATAGTTACATCACAATTCTTGCACATAATCTTGTATATCACATTATTCTTTGACTAATTTGAATGAGAATTCTTTTGTATCTTAATAAACTTACTCAATTTATTTTAGAGCTACAATATGAAACTTTAATATCTTCTCTATTAAATTTTTTGAATTTCTTTGTTATCGATAGTACAAAAGGCAGTAAACAATGATATAACATCCTTTATTTTATCATTATTATTTGTGCAATCACGAACTACCTCCACCGCTACTCCACATTGAATGCTTCTGATTCTAATATTGATTGTGTCAAAAATGAATTTGAGGGGATTCTCTATTAGTATATTCTTTTGATAGAATTCAGAATCAGATAACAATAAAGCTCTATCTAGCAAACCAAAAATTATGTATATTTTTTAATACCGCTTTTATATAATATAACAAATCTATCATGTGAAAGTGTAATCTCTTTATTTCTATAATAACAATAGATTACGTAAAATTTTTCTTTTAAATCAAGTTGGATGTTGATATTTAAAAATGATAGAATTATTAATAACCTAACAAATTAGCTTTGTGCCTTTGAAAAAGCTCTATCAAATAAAGGAATTGAATCACAAGAAGTGCTCGCACTTGATTCTTCAAAACAGAATTCAAATTTTAAACAGAATTCAAGTAATTTAAAACAGAAGAAAATTATCTGTAATTACTGTAAAAAACTAAATCATGTAATCAAAAAATGTCAAAAATGAATATAAAATGGAAGGCTATTCAAAACAGATAATAAATTAAAAGTTACAGGTTCTTCAAATAAAGATTCAGCGGAGATGTTACTTCTTGCTATCCGTATGTAAATCCGAGACACTTCCACAGATACTTTGTGATAATGGCTGGTATGCGGATAATGGAGCAAATCATGTTATAACAAAAGCATTTTCAGAACATTTGAAAAATTTACAACTTTCCATACAGTCACTACGGCTAATGAAAGCACCAGTGAAGCCATTGGCAAAATAGACATTGAAGCAGTTGGCGGAAGATGGTACAAACTCACTTTGGGAGATGTATGTACCCATGATATAAAAAAGCTTATTCTCTGTTTTTGCAGTAAAGAACAAAAATCTAAAGAATAGATTCGACAGCAGAAGTTTGCAATTTAAATGTTGATCGAGATATTAAATTAGTAGACATACGTAATCGTTTTGGAGGTTTATTTAAATTAGCTATAAAAGAACGTTAAACCTCATACTCCGACTATAGTAAACGCAATCAAGAAAATCTGCTTCAATTGTATCATGAAAGATTCGAACATCAAAATAAAAGGCAAGATGATAATCAAAAGAAAATATCAACATAGTATTAAATACCGAGCTCTGTGAAGGCTGCATTTACGGGTAAAGCACCGACTTCCACTTAGCACTAGGAAAAGAGCAACGAAACCGGGAGAGCTCATTTACACAGATGTATCTATTCCAAAACTCTATGTCTGGATATAAATACTTTGTATTGTTCAAAATTGACACAAAATTCAGAGTCATACATTCTTAAAGAAAAATCTGAAATTTTAGCTAAATTGAGTCACTTCTTAGCTGAGACAAAGACAGCAGGTCATATCATTAAAGAGATTCTTCAAAGGGCAGATATATCTTAGCAATTCACTGTGCCGTACACACAACAGAATGATTGTAATAAAAGGGAAAATTATATTTTTGTGGAAACAGCCCGAACATTAATGCACTCTCACAAAGATATTCCGCAAAAACTTTGGGCTGAAATGATAAATACAACAATGATAAATACAACAGCATACATATTAAATCGAATCGGATCTTCAAATGTATCAAGGAAGTCTCCATATGAACTTTGATGTAGCAAGAAACCAAGTATAAAGTACTTTCGTATTATATATTGTATCTGCTATGCACATGTTCCAAAACAGTGCAGAACAAAACTAAATAAAAAAGTTGTGAAAGAAATATTAATTGATTATGATCATGAGGAAGGATATGA